GGGAGTCTGCTTCTCCCTCTGACCCTCCCCCCTCTCATGTACTCGCTCTCTCTCATTCTCTCAAATAAATAAATAAAATCTTTAAAATAAATAAATAAATAAATAAAATAAAAGGAGCTGGAACCGCCGGAGTGCCAGGAAGGAGAGCCCCACACTCTGAGCGGGGACTTCTTGCTGGGAAACGTCCTCAGGGTGGGTGCCTTAAGGTGAAGGACTGGGGCAGAGCCTCTGCTGTCCCTGCCCTGCCCCCACTGGGGAAGAGAAAAGAGCCATGACCGTGTCTCTGCCGGAAGCAACACTTGCTGCCTACTCACATGGCACCCGGGACTGGAGCCACCACGGGACCGTCCATCTCAACGAGGCCCTCCCACCCCACTCAGAGCCCTGCTGCTTGCCCACCCCAGCTAGAACAGCGCTCCGGCGAGCCCGTGCCCAGCTTACCTCCCGGTGGGCCTCGCTGGAGATTCTGTTGGTGTAACGCAAAACCTCCAGCTCCATGTCCGTCTTAAAGACTCGGCTTCAGAGAGAAGAAAAAAGTGGCAAGTCAGTGATGCCCAGCGTCAGGGGCTGGCCGGACCCCCCCACCCAGGGAGACCTCGGGGCCCACCAAACCCGGCACGGCCTGGGAAGCAGCACAGGGCTGGCTTGTGCCCAGCCAGGCCACTGGGGCATGGGGGTGGAAGGGCCACCAAGCCCCAGAAGTGATACGCTGCACCAAGCGCTGCCCATCCTGGTCTCATGCCAGGCTTGGGTGTGCAGGCTGTTTCTAGTTACAAGACCTGGAAACCGCTGTGGGTGCTGGACGAAGCCCAGATTCTGCAGCCAGACATGTCCTGCCTCACCGAGACTCAGTTTCCCCGTCCATAAAATGCGGATAAAATCTACCTGGCAAGGAGGCTGTTGGACCTGAATCAAGTGTGCCAACTCCCAGGGCTCTGCCCAGTTGGCTGAAGAGGGTTACCGTTTCCTCCCACCCCACCCACCTGCCCCTGGGGCAGCCCAGGAATCCTCCTCCACCCCAGTCAGGCCCCCTGCGGGATCCAGGGATGGGGGTGGGAACAGTGGGTGGTGCAGCCACTTCCAGCCATGAGTGCAGGAAAAAATGTGGAAAACAGCCAGTCTGCAGAGAGGAGGAGACAAGGAACAGACAAGAAGAGAAGGGGGCTGTGTGGGGCAGGCAGGCGCAGCCAAGAGGCCCTGCTCTCCTTCTCACTCAGCTGTGCCTCCTGCAGCTGGACTCTGAGGGTCCTGGGGGCCCTCACAATAAATCCATGTTAATCTGCCCAAATGTGGTCAGGTTTCTGGTCTTTGCGATCAACCTCATTGCCAAGTACGACTCAGCTAGAGAAGCTACGTAAATATTTGTTTTCAACCTCCACTTCAGATGAGCAACTCCAGGCCATGCGGCATTTCAGTGGCAGCCGTGACCAGTCATTAAGAGCTCAGCGTCCCCAGTGCGTGCCCCGTGGCCAGCTCTGCGTCCTTTACACAAGGTGACACACCTTCACCAACGCTCCCACACGGCCACCTCTCCCTCTCGTGAAGGGAACACATTCAAGCACCCTGCAGATAGGCAAAGCCAGAGTGTCTGATGATGGCAGACCAGTGCCTGCCCCCCCACCCCCACCCCGTTCACTCTCTCATCCAGCTGCTGTCTGTGTCCTGAAGCTGGACCAAGGCCAAGGACGGCAGCGAAGAAGCTCCCACCTCCATCAGAGGCAGCGAACCTCTGGGGACTTCACAGAAGCAGCCCAAGCCAGCCACTGACTCACACCGTCTCCATGGTGCCATCCAGCTGGGACAGCCAGCCATCTGTCACAGGGAAGTGACGAAGGCATCTTGCAGCACCATGACGCCCTCCTAAGACCGTAAAACCTTCTGGGGAATGTGGAAAAGATAAACCCTTCAGCCCAGTGAGACTTTTTCCACATGAATAGCCTTTCTTTCCTGAGGAAGCAGACCCTGAAGCCTGACACTCGGCTCTTTATCATCAGAAGGCGTCTCTGATTCCCCACCAGGGGGCTGGGAGCAGTCCCACCTGGGGAACAGGAAGCTGCTCCTGTGCCCTGGAGGTGAGGGTCCAAAGCCTGGGCAGGACTCAGATGAGCAGCTCAGCTCCTGAGGCCCAAATCCACTCACAGGATAACCTAGCGGCCCCTGCTGCTTCACTCCCCACTGCCACCTGCTCAGTCCAGCCCGAGCAACTGGTAAGCGGGGAGTGGGCTCCTCTGTTCTCAGGTGCAGTGATGACCAGAATGACAACACAGTGGGGAACCAGGCCCAGGCTGTGCCCGCCCCCAGCCCTCTGCCCCTCTATTCAGCTTAGATCCCTGGTTCATCCTGCCAACATTTCAGACCCCAAGGCCCTGTGCCCACACAGCCATATGGGCTCGGCCAAACCCCCACGAGGGATGAGCCAGAGCCTGGGCCTGCAAAAGCATGATCCGGGGCCACAACGGCCGCAGGAAAATCCGCGACTGGGTAGTTGGCACAGCAAGCTCCCAGTCACCGGCCCCACCGGCCTCAGCACTATCCCAGTTCTGCTCTGAGCTGCTTGGGGGCATGCAAGGCCAGAGGGCTCCTCTCAATTTTATCTCCCTCAGATCTCTCCCCTCCCTTCCCTGGGTCTCCTCCCCTTGTCAGCAGACGAATGAACTCTATCCCTCCTCTCTGAACTCCCAAGCCTTCCCCTCCACACTCGGGTTCTCCTCCCCACCCACTCACAAGGGAAGGAGTGGAGCAGGCTCAGCACCCCAACATACACAGCTGGGCTCAGAGCCCACGTGGCCCCTATTACTGGGAGCTCCATGACCACCCACTTCCCCTTCCTCCTCCTCCTCCGGGCAAGCTCTATCCCCCACTACCCTGCCACTTTCCGGAAGGGAAACCATAACCACCTCTGCTTTGGGAGTGGAGAGAGAGCTGCTTTTATGTTTCATCTCAACCCTCTTGTCCATTTCCTCCCCTCTCCCCTCTCCTCTTCTCCTTTTGGCCTACCACCACCCCCCACCCTGCCAGCCCCCATCTCACCAACGTGTGGGAGAAGGACTCCAGGCTGCCAAATCCAGAAGCGTTCCACGACCGCCGAGAGGAAGCACAGGGAGCCCTGCATCCTCTGGCACCACTGGGCTGCTACCCCTCCTCCATCTCCCTTCCCTGCTCCCAAACCCCCGTCTCTGGCACAGGGCTCTTCGCTGCACCTGCCCTTGTAAGCCCCCAGGCTCCTACAGCTCAGCCTGACACAAACTCCCCCACCTCACCCCACAGCTCCACCACACCCCTGCTACTTCAAACAGACACCTGCACATCATCCCAGACACCTTTGTGTCATCAGTCCATTGCTCCCACATCCAGGTGACGACCAAGGGCTTCAATTCTCGCCGCTACAACCTCTCTCAGACCCTCCGTTTCTCTCCATCCAGACCCCACCGCCTCCAGCCTGGACAACTCTCCGGCCTCTTCTTGCCTCCAGGCGTCTGTGCTCACTGACAGCGGCTGGGAACCTTTAGGAAACAAATGTGACCACGCTTTTCCTTGCTTAAAAGCTTTGGGGGCCTCTAAATGTCCTCGGGATGGAGTTAAAACTACTCACGAGCCTTCCCATGCCTGTCTCCACCACCTACCTCCCCTCAGCCCCACAGCGACTCTTCTGCTCAGGCCCTTTCACCTCCAGCTCCCACCTGAACCACACCTTTCCCGAAGTGGAGGAGGGGCTCCCCCATACCCCTTTCCCTACGTTTCCAGGGCAGTCTATAGGAATCCTTGGAGAGCTACCACACACGGGACTCTTTTTACATTTAAGTCTCTTCCCAAAATGGCCGTGGTCCTGGGGGGTAGGGTAGCGGCACCCCAAGGGCTTGGCCCAAAACAGACACGTAGGAACCAGGGTTAGAAATAGTACCTGGGCATTGCACCAAAGCTGGAAAATGCCTTAGTTCCAAAAAGGAGAGCTCATGGCTCTTTTCAAAGAAGAAAAAGAGGCTTCCTCCACCCCACCTGGGGGAGTTTGGCAGACACGGTGGGATGTGGCTCAGCCAGGCCTGCCCTGCGCAGGACAGGGGCACAGCCTGCCCGGGCTCCAGCAGCCCAAACTGCCACAGCCACCGCCTTACCCTGAGCCACGCAGCTAGGAGGAGGCAGCCCTAAGAGTTGAACCCCAGGAGCCACTGCACAGGCTCTCCCCACAGCCCCTCCCTACAGTGGGAGCGCCCCGGTCTACAGAGGGGCCGGGAAAAGCAGGCCACCAGCTTCTCCTCCAAGGACACTTGGTGCCCAAACCACACTGTCTTCCCATCAGAGATGCCAGCACTTCCGACCATTGATGCTGAGGCCTGCTTTCCTTCCCAATTTGAATTTGTGGAAGATGACAAACCAGGACTTTACCTGGTTTACTCAGGACTTATTTTTAAGTCATGTTTAAAAAAAAATCACACTGAACCAGGACAAATTATGCCGTAAAGGCGGTTCTCCAACAAAACTGGCCTGGCGCAACTGAATCCGAGCTTTAAAGGCCCTCAGAACAGGCGTCTGCCGTGTGCCGGCTCACCTGACTATCCATAGGGCGCTCTAGGTCTAAGTCTTGCCCAGGTGCCAGGCATCCAGCCTGGCCCAGGTCTCTCCAGGACACAAGCACCAGGAACAGTTTTTAAGATGACTGTACAAAATAACAGGACTTTCCAGCATTCAGCAGTTTCTCCCTATCTTCAGGAAGGATTGACCGCCCTGAGTCTGATGAGGCTATTTCTATGACTCCTGGACATGAAAAGATAAGGAAAAAGGGATTCCAACCCTCCAGAGTGAGGGCTGCCTAGTGTCATACTCAGCCCCAGCCTTGTTTGGCCCCAGTATGTGTGGGGTGGGGTAAGAAATGTGATCTGCAAGTCTTCTATCCCCAGGACAGGACCAAGGCCTCCTCCTCCATGAGGCACCAGAGGACGCAGGTTTGGGACAGAACAACACAGATGCAGTTAACAAGTCTGGGCTGAGAACAACTCAGACTCTTCGACTAGCAAAAGGACATGGCTGACATGTGCAGGCGATAGAGGCCATCATGCAGAGTCCCCAGGCCTGTGGCCCTGCCTGTGAGCATCAATGCACCCAGGTGGCCACTCACATGGCAAGGCAGCGCCCCAGGCAGGGGAGCAGAAGGGGGGAGAAAGCTCCTCCACCATGCCAGGCCCAGAGTCCCCTGCAACAGGCTAGAAATGACAAAAACTGGACTCAGCTGAGATTTATTTGTGCAATCTGGTTTTTTTCCCCTTCAATATGCATAGGTCACAAAACTGCTTCTGGGCATTAAACCCAGGATTAAGACATTAATTAGCTGAGGTTTGAATTCTCCACTGATTAAAACAGTAGCAAGACAGGGGCGCCTGGGTGGCTCAGTCGGTTAAGCGCCTGCCTTCAGCTCAGGTCATGATCCTGGGGTCCTGGGATCGAGCCCCTTCTCCCTCTCCCTCTGCCTGCCACTCTCCCTACTTGTGCTCTCTATCTCTCTGCCAAATAAATAAATAAAAAAATAAAAAAAATAAATAAAAATAAAATAAAACAGTAGCAAGACAGGATGAAGTATATCCAAAATCAATCTCTAAGCATCAAAGTGCCACCGTGGTGAACAAAACCCATTTGAAGGGACAGGAATTCCATCTCTCCTGGAGATGAATGTACAGAGGGGATGGTTCTGTGGGAGCCGGCGGGCAGGAACTCAAGGCCACAGGACCCCCCATGTCCATTCCTTCCACACCCCATGACCTGGTGCTACAAAGGATAAAACCCCAAAACAACAGGAGGGACAGAAAGGAAAGAGCTACTTGGAATTATATATCCTCAGGAGGCTCAATCAATAAGTCCTCTCAAAGAAATTGGAGCCACGAAGAAAATGGCGGTCTCGATCAGCAGTGAGCTAAGTGTGCTTGAGACTTGACATGGGCCAGGCAGACACGGCTGCATACAGGGGAGGCACGGGAGGGTCCACCTCAGTGTGCTGGCCCGGGGCCCAGCCGTGCCTTCCTCTCTGCCTGATGGCGCCCGCACCCCACCTCCTGCCTTCTGGCACATGGTCATTCAAGGCCTCACTCTGCCCTAGGGTCCCCACTGTCCACTCGGCTTTCTTGCTAACGTAGGGTTAAATGCCTCTTCCTCAGGAGACAAAGACAGCAACCCAACTGAAATACTTTTCACACAGTCCAAGAATCTAGGTCATCATCTACGTATCTTCTAATTCAGGACACGTTACCCAGGACGCAGGATCCTGCCGTGCTTCTGCCCCTGAACCATCCACACCTCGCCATCTCCTGAGCACAGAAAAGGCAGGGAAGGAGAAACAGATATATTACTCCCCTGCCTGTTAACACACACAGGACACCTTCACTCTGTGTAATTAACAGTTCTAAAATCGGTGTGTGACTCAATTTAACACAGTCTCACTTAAAACCCAAGAAGGCACACGGCAACTGCTGACATGCTTGTTCTGCTGTGATGCTTCCAGAGGTACTTAACCGGAATCCCAGGCACGGAGCTATTAAGACGGTACAAAAGTATCTCCCTCTATTTCCTAACCTAACTTCAGATCAATTTAATCATCTGCAGAACAGAAGAATGGAACCACAGCCTAAATTATGGAAGTGAGATGCCTGCTCTTAAGTTTCAACTTTTGACCTCCACGTTTGAACTGCAATACCCAGCACGAGAAATTATCAGTTATGATCTCATGTTTCTGGGGAAGAGTATGATTATAGAGGAATTTACAGGAAATCACAAAGGCACTGCTTGAGCGAATGAGAAACAATAAAAGCAGTCACAGAGAGGAAATGAACAACATCCACAAAAACGAGGAAGGAAGCATCCTCTGTGCTGGGAGAGGCTGCTCCTTGCCTCTATCAGACAGGCCCTGGGAGGAATCCCAGACCCCCAGCCCAGCGGCTAACGGGGAGCTGGGGTACATGAGTAGCAGGGGGTGTGGAGCGAGAGGAAGCTCAGCTGCACAGCCCCTGGCCCCCACCCTCACTACACCCTGGCCTTACACAGAGCCATGCCAGGCCCTCTGAGCACCCCTGCGTGTCCCGTGGCCAAGAGAGGACCGAGAGCACAGCTGAAAGTCAGGCAAACCCCCACCCCCATCCCCTCCAGGGTGCCCCTCAGATACACAAGGAGCAGCACAAGATCCTGGGACCACCTGCCTGGGCTCAGCTCCTGGCTTTTTCTCAGGCAAATCCCCTCCCTGTGCCTCAGCTTCCTCATCTGTAGAATGGGGATAATCAGAGCACCTAGCTTAGAGCATAAACAAAATACCTCTTTGAATAAGGGAACAAATGTCAAGTGCTTAGCACAGCGCCGTGTATACAAGAAGTCTCAAAAGGCGACAGACAGGGTGCCTGGGTGGCTCAGTCGGTTAAGCGTCCGACTCTTGATTTCGGCTCAGGTCATGATCTCAGGGTCATGAGATTGAGCCCCCCATTGGGCTCTGCACTCAGTGGGGAGTCTGCTTGGAATTCTGTCTCCCTCTCCCTCTGCCCCTCCCCCCCACTCACTCACACACACACACACACACACACACACACACACTCTCTCTCTCTCTCAAATAAATCAATTTTTTTTAAAAAAGGCAATAGACATTGTATTAAGCTGAGTTAGCACTTGACTTCTGTGGGAGCCGGCAGGCAGGAACTCAAGGCCACAGGACCCCCCATGTCCATTCCTTCCACACCTCATGACCTGGTGCTACAAAGGATAAAATCCCAGAACAGGAGGGAAAGAAAGGAAAGAGCTACTTGGAATTACATATCCTCAGGAGGCTCAATCAATAAGTCCTCTCAAAGAAATCGGAGCCATGAAGAAAATGGCAGTTTCGCTCAGCAGTGAGCTAAGTGTGCTTGAGACTTGACGTGGGCCAGGCAGACACGGGCTGCACATCAAGGGAGAGCACTTCTGCTTTGCACATGAGGAAACCAAGGCTCAGTGCTACAGGCTGAATGAATATGGGTCTCCCTCCAACACTGATACGCTGAAACCTAACCTCCACTGTGTTGGTATTCAGAGGTGGGGACTTGGGAGGCAAACAGGTCATGCAGGCAGAACTCTCATGAATGGGACTGGTGCCCTTATAAAAGAGACCCCAGAGAGTTCCCTGCCTCTTCTGTCCTATGAGGACACTGTGGGAACACGGCTACCTAGGGATCAGGAAGTGGGTTCTCACCACACACCGAGTCTGCCAGCACCTCAGTCTTGGATTTCCCAGGTTCTAGAACTGTGAGAAACACATTTCTGTTGTTTATGAGCCATCCACCATGGTAATTGTTATGGCAGCCCAAACGGTCTAAGACACTTGGCGAATCTTCTCAAGTTAGGTATTACTGCATAGCCACTGGCAGACGAAACTGAGGCTCAGAACACTTAAGCGACTTGCCGAGGGGACAGATTGGGGTTAGAGTTTGGATGTGCCTGAGTGGAGGGCTCTTCTGTCACCACAGGCAGCCCCCCTCCATGGGGCCTAGACGGAGGGGGGGTAATGAAAGCATTCAGGACACAGGCACCCAAAGATGTGTCAATCATAAATTGTAAATTATGTCAATCATAATTTAATGTCATAGAAAACCCACTCTCCCGGAAATGAGGGACCAGCCTGCCATTCCACCCAGAATCCTTCCTTCACTTCCTCCAAGAGGGCAGTGACCGTGACCACCATGGATCTCACTGGAGAATGACTGCAGTCACTACAGAGGCCAGAACCCACGCTATTAAAACACACCCTTGAGGCAGTAAGGACAATGTGACATTTCTAAAATAGTTCTACTGCCATCAAATATCAAATAAGTCCTTTCTGCCAGCTTTGATAAAGTTGGTTAGTATTCTTATGAATGCAGAATCCACCTCAGAGCCTTGGAAATGTCACTAGAATTAAAGCATGCCTGTTCCAAAGTAACCAACTAATGACTTGTTCCTCAGGAGATGCTGGAGCGTACAAGCCAGCACGGTCTCCAAAGCACCCGAACCGTAAGCCGCCATGAGGGAGTGTCACACGTGGGGCGTAAGTGGGTGCGGGCCCATTCCTGAGTATCCAGGATTTATTCTTCTGTCAACTGGAAGCTACAGATGGGCCAGGCATCTGTTACTTTATAAAAACAAGAAAAGGCGGCTATGTGCTGAAAGGACACAGGCCCCATCCTCAGAGCGAGTGTGGCTGCCAAGAAAGTTGGGCTGGCTGGCCTACCCTCCAGCGCTCCCACAGTCAGTACCAATGCCTGTGACAGCGCTTGGATTTCCACCTCTGGCCTAGCCTCGCTCCCACTGGAACCTGCTTCAGACTCAACACGGCCCAAACAAGTCCCTGATTGGCCACAGCACCTGCTCTTCCCAGCCATCCCACTACCCAGCCGTTAAGGACAAAAAACTGGAGTCACCTTCAACTCCAGCCTTCACCCAGGTCACAGCCAGCTCCTCCCAGGGGTGTTCCCCCTGACCACCACTCTACTCTCAACTCTGTCACACTACCCTTCTACTGCCACCTGGATCCTGCAGCAGCCTCCTAACTGGCAACTTGCTACCTCTCTTGCCCTACAGCTGAGTCTCCAGTCTGAGGCCAAAATGCCTGCTTGAGTGGGAGGGCCACTTCCAGGGCCCGCAGAGGCAATGAGCCCCAACCTGAGAAGGTTTGCCCTGCTGTGACCTAAAAGAACCCAGTTATGCTGCAGGTACGTACGGGCTGCCGGTATCAGCAAGGAAGGAACGGAGGCAACATAAGAACATGTACAACAGGATGCCAAGTTGTCAGGACACAGAAGCAACATGAGGAAAACATGTTTACCTTTCTGGCAACAGGATTATGTATGATGTTTATTTTCACTCTTTTCATTATCTACTCTGAGCTATAGGAGCGTGGCTCATTCATGGCAGGAGTTTTTAAAAGTATCCTAAATAAAAGATAAGAAAAATTTAACTGACCTTCAAGTGACTCAAGCCCTTTTGGAACGTCAGACCAACTGACACACACACACACACACAAAACAGCGAAGAGAGTTGTTCTGGGGACCATCTTTTCTGAGGGGCTCTCTGAGATGGGGCAGGGTGTCTCAGCTTCCTGAGCGGAGCACAACAAATAGCCAAAGTAGCCATAAGCAATACTCACCACTCCACAATTTCCGGATGAAGAATGGTGTTATTGACATTAAACCTGTAGAGGAAAAACAAATCAAGCCTATTAGTTCAATGGTCTATCATCTCCCCACAAGAAATACCTCTTTTAAGGCATACCAAGAGAGGGCATGACCCAGAGAGGGCCCCAAGCTTTAACTTCATGACCCCTGGGCCCATAGAAGGCCTGCTGCTCACTTCCTGCAGCAGACTTGCAGCCAGGCCAAGTGCTCTAGGTGCCGTCAGAGAAAAAGCTGCTCGGCTGCAAAACACCATCCTCCACTCTCACTAGGCAGACCTAAAGGCCACAGCCTCCTCTGTCAAGTATACCAACATACACACAATAGGAGTCCCAGAAGAAAAGGAGAAAGATAAAGGAGAAGAATTTTTGAAAAGAAAAAAAAAAGGCCCCAAACTTCACCAATTTAATGAAAAACATGAATCTACACATCCACAAAGCCCAATAAACTCCAAAAAGGATAAATCCCAAGAGACCCACATTCAGACATATAATCTAACTGTCAAAAGACAAAGAGAAAATCCTGAAAGCAGTAAGAGGAAAAAAAATGCATGACATACAAGGAATTCTTAGTAAGATCAATGGCTGATTTCTCATCAGAAACCATAAAGGCCAAAAGGCAGTAGGATGAAAGAAAAAAAAAAAAATGCATCAACCAAAATTCTATACCCAGCAAAGCTATGATTCAAAAATGAAAGGAAAATTAAAACAGTCCCAGATAGACAAAAATAGAGAATTTATTGCTAGAAGACTTTCCTACCAGAAATCCTAAAGGAAATCTTTCAGACTGTAGTGAACAACACTAGAGTAACTTGAATCCCCATGAAGAAAAACAAGGCATTGATAAAATAAATTACATAAGCAAGTAAAGCGACAGAGTAAATGTATTTTTTTTCTAACTCCTTTTTTCACCTCTCTGACTTAAAAGACAACTGCATAAAGCAGTAATTGTAAATCTGTGTTGACTAATGGAACATGTGAAGATGCAATCTGTATGCAACAACAGCACAAAGGAGGGGACAACATGGAGCTATACAAAGTTGTTGTATGCTACTGAAATTAAGCTGACATTAACGAAAACTAGACTGTCACAAGTTTAAGAGGTCACTTGCAATCCCCCAGGTAATAACTACGAAAATAATTTAAACATACAGAAAAGGAGATGAGAAAGGAATAAAAACAATGTATCACAAAAAAATCAATTAAATACAAAAGAAAGTAGTAATGGAGAAGCTGAGGAACAAAAATGACATATGACATATAGAAACTAGTGACAAAATGGCAGAAGGAATTCATTCCTTATCAGCAATTACTTTAGATGTAAATAGATTTGATTCTCCAATTAAAAGGCAGGGACTGGCAGAAGGAATTAAAAGAAACATGATACAAGTAAATGTTTTAAAAAGATACACTTTAGAGTCAAAAACACAAATAGGTTGAGAATGAAAGGATGAGAAAAGATGTACAATGCAAAGAGAAACCAAAAGGGAGCTGGAACAGCTCTGTTAATATCAGACAAAATAAAGGTTAAGACAAAAAAATTTACTAAAGATAAAAGACATTTTATACAAATTAAAAGATAAATTCATGAAGAAGACATAATAATTATAAACACATACACACCTAACAACACAGCCCCAAGATATATGAATCAAAAACTGACAGAATTGAAGGGGAAATAAATAACTCAACAATATCTGGAAACTTCAATACTCTGCTTGCAGTAATGGATAGAACAACTAATGGAAGATTGACAAGGAAATAGGAGACTTGAGCAACACTATCAACCAACTACACCTAACAGACATCTCTAGACTACTCCACCCTACAGTAGAATACCCATTTTCTCAAGTGCACATGGAACATTCTCCAGAATAGATCATATGTTAAGCCATAAAACAACTCCCAATAAACTTATAAGGACTGAAATCATATTGAGTGTGTCCTCCAAGCACGTTGGAATGAAATTAGAAATCAGTAACAGAAGAAAAATTCACTAATCTGTAGAAATTAACTTTTATACTCTTAAATAACCAATAGGTCAATGAAGAAATCAGAAGGGAAACTGAAAATACTGAGACGAATGGAAACAAAAGCACAACGTACCAAAACCTAAAGAATGCTGCTAAAGCAGTGCTTACAAAGAAGTTAACAGCCAAAAATACCGATGTTAAAAAGGAAGAAAGTTATCTCAAACCAATGACCTACTCTTCTAACTTAAGAAACTAGAGAAAGAAGGAGCACCTGGGTGGCTCAGTTGGTTGAACATCAGACTCTTGATTTCGGCTCAGGTCATGATCTTAGGGTCTTGAGATCAAGCCCCACGCCAGGCTCCGCACTGAGCATGGAGCCTGCTTGGGATTCTCTTTCTCTCTCTCTCCCTCTGCCTCTCTCCCCCAACACATGCATGCACTCTCTCTCTCTCACAAATATAAATCAAAATCTTTTAAAAAGAAACTGGAAAAAGAAGACGAAACTAAACCCAAAGCAAGCAGAAGGAATAGAATAATAAAAATTTGAGCAGAAATAAGCAAAAAAGAGAAAGCAAAACAGTAGAGAAAAATCAATGGGATAAAAATTGGTTCCTTGAAAACATCAACAAAACTAACAGCTTTAGCCTGACCAAGAAACAAAGAGAAGGCTCAAGTTACTGACCAGAGATTAAAAAGGGGACATTATTAATGATTTAACAAAAATTAAAAGGATTATAAGAGAATATAATGAACAACTATATGGCAATAACTGGATAATTGAGATGAAAAAGACAAATTCCAGGATGCCTGAGTGTCTCAGTCAGTTAAGCTTCTACCTTCAGCTCAGGTCATGATCCCAGGGTCCTGGGATAGAGCTCCATGTCTGGCTCCCTGCTCAGCAGGGAGCCTGCTTCTCCCTCTTCCTCTGCCCCGCCCCCCCGCTTGTGCTCTCTTTCTCTCTCTAATAAAATCTTAAAAAAAAAAAAAGAAAAAGACAAATCCCTAAAGACACAAACTACCAAAACTGATACAAGAAAAAAAAATGCAAATAGACCTATGACAAGTAGAGACTGAATTAGTAATCAAAACCTCCTCACAAAGAAAAGCCCTGGATCAAATGCCTTCATCATGAATACCAAATGTTTAAAAACAAATTAACACCAATCCTTCATTAACTCTTACTAAAACTAGAAGAGGAAGGAACACTTTTCAACTCATTCTACAAGCTCAGAATTACCCTGATACCAAAACCAAGACATCATAAGAAACTATAGCTGGAAATCTCTCCTGAACACTGGCACAAAAAAGTCTTCAACAAAACACTAACAAACAAAATCCACCAACATATCAAAAGGACATACACCATGACCAAATCATATTTATCTCAGGAATGTGGTTACTTCAACAGACAAAAAGAATATAATACACCATATTAACAGAATTTAGAACAAAACCACACAGATGTAGAAAAAGGATCTTACAAAATCCAACAACCTTTCATGATAAAAACACTCAATGAACTAGTAAGAGAAGGGAACTTCCCCAACCTGATAAAGGTATCTACAAAAAACACACAGCCTACATCATAGTTAATGGTCAAAGATGAAAAGCTTTCCCCTAAGATGAGGAACAAGGCCCTTCCTCTCCACTTCTGTTCAAAACTGCACACAAGAAACATTTATCATAGTCATATACTGGAAGTTTCAACAATTTTCAAAGCACTGAGATATAGAAAATGCTCAATGATTACAGTAGAATTAAACTAGAAATCAGTAACAGAAGGAAAACTATAAAATCCCAATTTGTTTGGAAATTAAGCAACAGACTTCTAAGGACTTGCTGTTCAAAAAGGAAATAACAAAATTAGAAAATAAAAGCATGAAATAGCAGAACTGGTGAAATGCAGGTAAACAATGCCCAGAGGAAAAGGTATTTAGTGGAAAAGAACACTGAAAACAATGATCTATGGGGCCACTGGGTGGCTCAGATAGTTAAGCATCTGCCTTCAGCTCAGGTCATGATCTCAGGGTCTGGAATCGAGCCCCACGTCGGGCTCCCAGCTCAGCAGAGAGTCTGCTTCTCTCTCTCCTTCTGCCTCTCCTGCTTGTGCTCCATCTCTCTCTCTCTCAAATGAATAAATAAAATCTTTTTTAAAAGAAAGAAAAAAAAACCATGATCTAAGCTCCTATCCCCAAACATGTCCCTTTCTTCTCTCTCAAGAAGCTAGAAAAAGAACAAACCTAAAGAAAGTAAAAGGAAATTAAAAAGCACAGAAATCAATGAAATAAAAGGCAAACACAAAATAAAGAAAAATCTATAAAGCCAAAAGTTGTTCTTTGATAAGATAAACATAACTGGAAAAGGGACCCCAGGAGACACAAAAAGATCAGGTCAGGGCACATCATGTGTGACCCAGAGCTCAAGCCAGCAGTGAGAGAGCTGGGGAAGCATGGCATGGCCCAGCACAAAATACAGGCCTCAGCAGAGAAGCTGGGGGCAAGCCTTCAACCCTCTGGATTCTGAGCCCTGCAGGGCATGCTGGCTTATGACCAAGCAGGGACTCTCCATGGCCCCATTACTGATGTTTGAAAACACCTATCTAATGCCGCGGTTATGCAGCTGGCACCCCCACCACTGCTGGTTGAGCCCACTGAAGAAGGAAGGACAGAGGAGAGAAGTGGGAAGGGGGCATTAACAGGCTAGGAGGATTCCAAATCTCCAAAGCTTTTGGGACTCCTAACTACACAAATAAGACCAACTCAAAGTCACCCGAAATGTTGCGGAATCAAAGCCCTACTTGTGAAATATCAAAGAGACCACAGGCAGCCAACCTGGTTCAGAGTCAAGAACAGAGCAGCAGATGATATAAATCAAGACGACAACACAGACTCTGCCTCCCATTTCCCCAAATGTCACTTTGACGTTTGGAAAAGCAATGGCCTATCTACTCAGCAGGAAAACACAGCAGTAAAATTTCACTTTACAAAATGTACGTACACATACACATATGCTCCTACAGACACATGAGCAGCAAAGTGACCCAGCACACAAACACAGATGCAAACACAACAGATATGATGAACACACACCCAAGCAGGCACGCACTTAGGAAGAGGTGCAGGCAGACACACACAGATGTACATGCAACACACACACACACACACACACACACACGCACGCACACGCACACACACCCGGAGACAAACCCAGACAGGCATATGCTTAGACTAATACACAAAGATCAACCCCTAAATATACACCCATACAGAAACCCATAGATTCACACAAAAGGGCACTCAGATACGAAAATACTCAGACAGAGAAACACTCAAGACACACACAGAAGAGTCCAAAAGACATTCACCCCCATTGCCTCTATCCTAGTTAGCATTTTCTATGATAAGCATGTATCAGTTGGGTAAAAACAACAATAAATCCACCAGTGCCTAAGAGGGTGGGGAGCAAGTGTCCTGGAAGCATAGGGTAATTCCCTGGTGGGCTCAGCCTGAGGGATGGGTGACAAAGGGTGCGCAGGATGGGTCCAAACTCCCCTGCCCCAGCTCCTGGCCTTCTCCCTGCAGTTTCTAACTCCAGGAAGGAGGTGAGACCCACTGGAGAACATGCCCTGCAAGGGCCCCCCACTGCCCTCCCCTGCTAGGGGCTGGAGTGGGTTCCTGTCTCTTCATGGAGATTCCATGGACCATAATGAGAAGCTCAAGTTAACGAAGAGTAACCTGATACGCAAGTTAACAGTAACCACAAAGCCAAGTCCCCCCACCACAGACCGGCATTTCGTTGTGATCATCAGGTTTTAACAAAGTCCCTCTATTTCCTGGGTTTAAAAATTCACATCTTTGGAGTGCCAGGGTGGCTCAGTTGTTAAGCATCTGCCTTTGGCTCAGATCATGATCCCAGGGTCCTGGAATCGAGCCCGGCATCGGGCTCCCTGCTCGGTGGGAAAGCCTTCTTCTCCCTTTCCCACTCCCCCTGCTTGTGTTTCCTCTCTCACTGTCTCTCTCTCTCCGTCAAATAAATAAATAAATAAAATCTTAAAAAAAAAAAAATTAAAATTCACATCTTTGAATATTTATATCCCTACATTAGCAACCCCCCAAACTCAGCAATTTCATATTTAACTGCTTATTTAAATGGAATTAATTTATAACCAATTGTCTTCAAATATGCAAGGCAATTTAAGTAAATGCCAAAAGATAAGAAATATGCTTATCCTGAACAACCAGCTGATGTAAAATATCGACCATATTTCTCTCTCAGACAATGACATGAAACTGAGCCCTCCGCAACTCATTGCCCTGGCCCAGGGCTCCCAGGCAGTCTGCCTGTTCTGGAGGGAACTGTCTCCTGGCAGGCAGGCACCCCCATGAGCCACCTGGCCCCTGCAGATCTTCTCCTCCAGGGTCAGCCTCCCCCTCTCTCTCCCTCTCTCAGGAAAATCTGCTCTGAAGTCTACCTCCTCAGATGCTAGCAAAGATTTATCATGTCTGCCCTTTGCTCCCAGGCTACAGGAACCAATTGCTCCAGGCAGCCGCGGGAGGGAGCCCACAGGGAGAAGCCCCACGCCCTCCATACCACACCCCTACCCTCACCTGTCCACCCAGCTGTTCTCTGGCCGGGGCTAGCCGGAGCTGAGGTGAAGAGGCTCTTAACTGGGTGGACAGGTGAGGCCACTGTTCTACGATAAGCTCCTTTCTCCCCCCAGGCCAAGGGACAAAGGTGGCCTGGGATGGCCCACAGCAGAAACCTGGAGGCCAAACCCGAACTTCTGCCACAGCAGGTCAATCAAAAATCCAAGACGTGGGGTGTTTCAGAGAAGTCCAAAAGGGTCAAAAACCAAATTTCCAGGAATAAGATGCTTTACTAGGGCAGTAAGAAGCAACCGGTGACAGACACCGATGGAAAGTGGGACAATGGCAAGACTCATCTTGCTTAGGAAACAGGCTATTATTATCCACAGCCAGCAGCTGGAGACGCGGCAGGCAGGTGAATGTAGCTGAGCTGCAGCAGCCCTCAAGGACAGTGGCAGAAGGAACGAGGGGACCAAGTCAAGGTGCTGGCAGCCAGGGTGAGTGGGAGGCAGGGGACCGAGCGGCACCCAGAGCCCAGGAATACAGACAGGACTTTCCAGCGGGCAGCTGGAGGCAGAGACCGGGGCCCAAAGTCATACCCGTGGCATGCAGGGTAGGGGCACCCACCGCAGGCTCCTACCCAACAGAGCAACCCCTGAGGGCTGAGCTACTCAAAGGATGCCCCAGAGGGAAGGGAGGGAGGACCACAGGCAGGCCAGGGAACTCTGAAGCAGAGACACATGTGGGAGGGCTCTCACCAGCGGTGCATCGGTGCATCGGCCAAGACACATGGGTATGAAAACAATCCCCCAGCTCCTCCAGCCTGCGGGGGACAGGCTCTCAGTCCAGCAACGAGCGGCTGGGGAGTACCCCAAGTCAGCCCCATCTGGACTGGACTACAGATCGGAGAGGGCCCGGCCAGGGCCTGGGGAGAACCAGCAAAGTTAAGGCAGTCCCTGGCTCTCCAAAAAAGCTTCCAAATGCCTACTGGGCAGGGAGGGGGTTTGGCAGAGCACAGGCTCCTCTGGGCTCTTGGCAGGGGCTGAGGGGTCCCACAGACCAACAGGGGCCAGAGGCTGAGGTCCTGTTCACAGCAGGATTCCTCCTAGGGAAGAGGTCTCAGCTGCCACGGCCCACTGACTGTGATGGCCCTGGAATCTGCCCACGCCTCGTCTCTGGGAAGACCTGGGGAGCGGCCAGCTGAGCTCTGCTCTCAGGGGTCACATCCGGAGCTCCCTCCCATACCTGCCACACCACCCACCAGACCTGTTCCTGGGGTGCTGGGGAGGCATTCTCAGCACCAAAAACCTCTGGAGGGGGCAGGCAAAGAACCCGCAACGCACTGGCATCGGGAATCTTATAATCAGTGATCCCGAAGTCCACCTGGCCCACTGCACAGAGACGGGGAGACCAAGGCTCAGGGGGGCAACAGGGCTTGATGGGGATGTGCTTGTGAACAAGTGAACACCTGTTTCCAGAGCACCAGCTCCATGCCAGGCTCCGGGGCAAAGCAGGATCCCATTTCGCCCCCATGCAAGCCCCAGCAACACCATTATGCGTGCGGGAGCTGAGGCTCAGAGGGCAAGCTCTGTTAAATGAGGTGGCCACGAGGGCTCCCTCCTCTCACTCAGGGCCCTCCCCACGAGGCAGAGACCTAGCGGAGGCTGGAGGGGCCAGCCCATGGGAACACAGATGTTGGTGCTGGTTGAGGCAGGTGAGCCAGGCAGCGGCACCTCGGCAGGGCTGGGGGACCAGGGGAGGCTGGGCCCAGGACAGGCCACAGCGGGCTGGGCCCACGCCTTCCGCTCTGCTCCAGGGCCTGGAGGGACATGGCAGCTCCACGGCCAGCATTTCAAAGAGCGAGCACATGGCTACTCCAGGGAAATTCCCAAGAGGATGCAGGGGTTTGAGCAATGAGAAGCAAACCTGATACTCGCCCCCATCCCATCGCTCTTATCATTGGGGGGCGATACATATTTATGAGCTCATAATCCTTCCTAATCACCCCTACATCACACAGACGCACAAACTCCCTGTGGCTCAGGCTCATACATAATTATTAGGCACTTCCTCTGTCACCGCCTCAGTCCACCAAAGGACGACAGGACGCAGTGGCGCAAAGTAAGTGCGGTAGTGGGGGAGCTGGGGATGGGAGGCCCAGGAGCAAGGCTGGGGGGCCAGCCACACTCAGCAGCCTGGGGGAGCAGGTGCCCCCCTCAAGGGTTCCTCTGCCACAGCCTGGAGCCCCAGACGAACCACCCCCCACCCACCCCGCCGCAGGGCCAGTCCCCAGCCGGCCCAGGGACACAGCCCAGCTTGCAGGAAGCTCTCTCCAGGGGCCTCGGTATGAGGGGGACAAGGAGGGCAAGGTGCCTTACCTCGGCCCCACATCTGCCTTCCTACCTGGAGAGGCCCAGGAGGGGGAGCAGGGTTTGGAGGATGGGCCTGGAGCTAAACGGGGGGAGCGAGGGCAGGTAAGGGGTTCGCTCTCTTGAGACTGGGGCAACAGCAGACTCAGGCTGGGAGAAGTCAGTGCCAGGACTGAGGAGAGGGGCTGAGAAGAGCAAGGACCACAGAGCTGAGAGCAGGTCTCTAGACGGAGTAGGCCCCCGCCTGTCTGTGCTCCCCAAGCCCGGGCAGGTCTGCACTTGCATTATGGAGCTCAACAGAGAAGCAGAAGTTGAAGTGATCCTAGGCAAATCATTTTTCTAAACATTTCCTCAAAATACCCAATCCGACTCCTTCCTAGCATCCTCCTGTTCGTGTATTTTGTGTCTAGCTTGCAGACAGGGCAAGGCCTGCGGGTGAAGAGGTGAGCGGGGGAAGAGGGAGACCATTCCAGGGGCCCCAGCACTCACTTGCTGATGCCCTCGAAGGAGGCCTCCCTGCAGATACTGCCGCTGTCCGTGTTGACGCCACGCTGTAGAGACAGAGGGAGCATGAAGGGCGGGGCAGGCACACGGGGCCGCCCTACGGGGTCCCCACCACCTGCAGGGGAGCGCCCGCCTCCTCTATCCAGCCTAAGGACTGGGGAAGAACCTGGAGCCCCCACCCCTGCCCAGCAAACATATCCCTTCCTGCCGTTCAGGTAACTCCCAGCCAAGCCTGCCCTCCCACCCCTGCTCAAAGGCAAGCTGTCCGTTCTCTGCCGCAGCCTGAACCTGGAGGAAAGGAAAGGGCCGCACAAACAGCATCCCAGGTGCATGAAAGCCTCCTCCCTCAGATCGCTTTGCTAAAACCAGCTCAGGCTGTGCAGGCACAGACGGGGAGTGTGCACACACTCCCCACTGACAGGGTCCAAAAAAGCACTGTCACATCCAGCCCTCCCGGAGATGTGGGTAGGACCCAACTCTGGCATGATGGGCGCTTCTCAGTGACACTACGGAGCTGTGGTACATCCCTGTCCTTCCCCTGACTGGGAGGAGAGTGGAATTCAGACAAGAGAGGAGACAAAAAGGACTCAGAGAAAAGTGTGCCATCCCCAGAGAGGCAAGGCGTTCCGAAGCGCCCTTCTTCCTTAAGAATGGCAGGCCAACGTTGAATAATGCCCCCCAAAGAAAACACGCCGGGCCATCTCCGACCACAGTCATCTCACGTAATCTTCCTGCTCAGCCATCAAAACAGCAGAGCGGAAAAAAGACACCATGTGAAGTGCTTTTAAAAAAAAAAAAAAAAACCAAGAAGAACTATTTCTGAAAAAAAATCGATGAACGAGAGAAAAGGGTCACTTTGGGAAGGAAGAACAGTTGTACACTCTCCATATTTGAAACTCCCCAAGGTCAAAAAAGTGCAAGAAAGCTGGTTCTTCTCTGAGCCATTTCACTGCCAGAGGGCCCCCACAGCCCTATTTAAGGCACCAGGGGCCCACCAGGCACCCCGACCCACCCCTAGGCCGTGGCAGGTCATTCAGTGTACCCAATTCTATATCTGATGCCAAAGAGCCCAACAACCTTGCAGACAGGCACCACAGGTGTGTCTTTAAAATTCTATTAACAACGGAGGAGACACAGGGTGGAAGCACATTGATATTCTACATCCACAAACTCTGTGAGCTCGGCCTGACACAAATACATTCTCCAGCTGGGTTTTAACCCTTGGAGTAGGCGTGGCGTCTTCTGCCAGGACCCGGCACATCTCAGGGACACTGGAGGATGGAGGACGTGGTCCCGGATGTATTCAGCCATCTTGAAGGAGGTGTCACTACGTGTTACCGATGACCATTCCTCCAGTTTTCAAATCCTCTGCAGGGGTAGGCAGCTCCCTAAAACCTTTCCCCGTGGTGCCCAATCCCTGGACACCAGCCACTTACCAAAGTGAGGAGGACAGAGGGGTTCTGTGACGTCAGGACACTGGCGATCTAAAAGGTCAGAAAGAAAAATCCACTTTAGAGCAATCGCAAAGACATCTGATGGAGATGATACGCCACCATGACTTAACGATGTCAGCTCACATTTATGGAGCCAGTGGTTAAAACCAGGCAGTGATGCTGTTGTCCACATCCTGCAGATGAGGAGACCGAGGCTTGTGGACACCAAAGGACTTCTGAAAGCCACGTGGCTATCAAGTGGCAGACAGGGATTCATGCCTACACCTGGCACACCTTCCCACATGCCGCCCTGCCTCCGGGCCCAACACACATCCCAGGCTCCACGCCGCCAGACCTGCCCACCCCGCAACAGCCCCCCCCCGCCAGGCCAGCACCTCTGTCCATCTGCCAGTCCCTCCGGAAAGACCTGTTCCAACTACCTCTTAGGCACCGATCCCAACAGCCTCCTGTCCCCAGGGCAGACACCTCCCTCCCTGCCCCCCATTCATCTCCTAGACTGTGTGGAGGAAGCTTCCCCCAATCCCACCCTCTGTCCCCCACCCCAAATCCCCACTCTCCATCCCTCCTCCACCTTGACCCACTCAGGCCTCATGTCCCTGCATGCTGGCTGCTTTCTATCCCAACCCCATGAATGAATGTGCCACACAACCTCATCTCTCCATGCCTCTGCTCAGGCTCTGACCCCTGCCTAGAATGCCTCCTCCCCTCCTCAGCAATAGTAAAGCCTTTTGTTACCCAGACAGATTCATTCACTCCCTCATCTCCTGCCCCATTCCCTTGGCAAAGTGCCCACCACACTACATTAGCCACGACATTTGTACCCGAGAGCACCAAGCACCCTGGTGGGAGCATTTTCTTCCTCTCCTGGCCCCCACGCCTCAGTCTGCCCTGCATCTTGGCTACCGAGGCCCCTGCCGTATTTGAGCCCCCACCCCCACCCAAAACTCTTTCACACCCTGACATGGGCGTGAGAAGTATTTGTTGTTTGTTGTTTTTTTTTGTTTGTTTTGTTTTTTTTAGATTTT